AATTCGTAAATATGCCCATTGTTATTTTTTCGTCGAGCTACCCCAGTTTAAAAAAAAAAGAAGTTTCTACGATGAATAAAAGCCGAGATATTGCAAAATTTTACAGCGCGCATCAATTTGAACTTTAGATTTCACTTTTCTCGCACGCGCAACTCGCTTGGACAAGCTTCCCCCACCACCACACCGCACCGCACATTTTACTTAGCTAGTACCTTCTCTTTAAAGGGCTCGTGAATCGTTAATTTTCCATATTTTTCAATGCAATTCACGGGAAAACGTAGTTTACGTCGTAAACTTTATTTTGCGAAAAATTCAAGTCTTAATATTTATAAACAATTACGCTACGATTTTTAAAAAAAATTCTTATCTTGGCTCCTGTTGGTCGTAGAGGGTACTTTTTGTTTTTAAATTTGTATTTTTTGCCAGCTATTCCATTGCATTATTTTCGGTGAGGTAGCATAAATAGCTACAATTTTATTCAAATTGTTTATACACGAAAAACGCACGGTTTTTAATGCACAATTTGAGAATGTTAATGTCAAAAAAACGGTGATATTTGTTAATAGGTCCCTTAATTACGTCTTTAAGATTACAATGACGCTTTCAGAATCATGTTTGGTTGAAAATTAACGCCTGTACAGGGGCTTAAAGTTCATAACTTTTGGAGCCTCCGTTATAAACAAATTGAATTGTGCGAAAACTATTGCACCTACAGCGTCCACTTTTGGCACACTTTTAAAGTATGACAAAACCCTCAACTTGTCATGGATTTTATAAAATTTTAACAATAAATGCGATAGTTATAAACAAATTAAAAAATGGGCACTTTTCTTGTTTTTTGCAATAACTTTTTTGTTTATTAACCGATTTTAATTTAACAAATCACATTTTGTAGATAATTTTACTCCCTACACGCTGTCTGTGAGTCACTTTACGCCAAAATTGATGGTTTTCCCTGCAAAGTGAAAAAACTGTTTTCCTCACTTATTTGTTTAAACAGAAAAGTTAGCTAATCAAATTTTTTTACTCACGAGATGAGAGATGTCTTGTATTATGTTCCTTTAGACAATTTTACAATAATCTCGCAGATAGGAATTTTTTCAAGTAAAAATTTTATTTGCTTGGCCTATAGACTTTGGTTCCTAAATTTAGATTAAAATCGGATCGTCCTTACCCCGAAACCATCTTTACAAACAAAAACAGCAAGCAAAGTCCTATCGCCACCTTCTTTATATCTACGGTAGTCTCATTATCGACGTAACCCAAAGGCACCACGTACGGTTCTCTAATTCCTTGTCTTTCCAGAACTTTCACAACTTCCTCGAGAGCCTGCCTGTTTTTAATAACCTCTCTTACAGTGTGTTCGTTGGCCTGGATTAGATTGAGAACAACTGGGTCGCCCCCGGCTCGCTCCAAACTGCTTAGTTTTTCCTCCATGAACCGTTTGAGGTCTTGCTTCTTCACGGAAGTGTAGACGAATGCCAAGAAGGACCCCGCCATGCTCAGGATCAGCCCGAAATACTTTGTGTATTCCAGCTGGGCTCTTTGCTTCTCGTGCGAGTCTCTTATGGCGTTCGTGAAAGCCGTGAATAGTTCCCGCTCCGTTTGGTCGTAGTCTTGAAAGGTCCTGGATACTGAATTTTCCAGCTTCAGGATCTAGAAGAAGGATATCGTAAAAGTTCTTTGCTTTTCGGGTATGAACTACTTACTTCCGTTTCTTCCCTCATCAGATCTAAGAATTTCTGCAAATCCTCCTGTCTTTTCACTTTGTGTATTTGGTCTTGAAGTTCCAATGATTTTTGTCTGATATCGGCGAGTTGCCTACCAACTTCCCTACGTTTTTCTTGCGTTTCCAATAATTGGTCCTTAAATCGTACATTGTTAAGAACAATTCTGCGCATTTATAACGCAAGGAGAGGTAAATTATTACGTACCTACCTGTAAAGAAGTCACCCTGTCTTGGTAGAGCTTCACTTCGTCGAGACCGATCACTTTAACGTACCATTTGTTCAATCGATTTAATTTATCGTACATGAGCTTTTTATTCTCCTCCCTTACTTTACTTAGGTATTGTGGTGCCTCGTCTATGGTCAGTCTCAGAGATTTTTTAAGTGTATCCAATGTGGGATGTTTGATGAGCGATAAAGTCCGAACTAATTTCATTTTTCACTGCGACCTTTGTCCTATACAAGATGAATGAATTTAGATTCTTTACGGCTCGTTAAATATATTCTTGTGCTTGTGTACTTCTTAGACCTTCATACAAATTTAAAAGACGCATGGAAATACTTAATTACTTAGGTTGACAGTGTACTTAACCTCTAAATACTTTCAACTGTCTTCCTCTTCTTTTATAGAAAGCGATTTTCTTTTCTTCTTCTTCTAGCCACATTCAAAATTGATTATGAGGGGGAACTCTAGAAAGTTTCGATTAATAATGCAACGATAGGTGGCAGTGTACAAACATAGAACCAAAGTTGAGTGAAGTGACAGAATATTTCAATTAACGAATAGAATGTCCGCCAATTTTACAGGAAATATTTTGCCTGATATTGATAACGTCAAACAAAAGCAGTTAAGCCGCGTTCAGATACATATTTGTCCTCCAATTTTATTGGCTGCAAAGTAGTCCTGTAATTAAGCAACCAGTAACAAGGAAACAAATCATAAACAANTCAAATTTGTTATGAGGGGGAACTCTAGAAAGTTTCGATTAATAATGCAACGATAGGTGGCAGTGTACAAACATAGAACCAAAGTTGAGTGAAGTGACAGAATATTTCAATTAACGGAATAGAATGTCCGTCAATTTTACAGGAAATAATTTTGCCTGATGTTGATAACGTCAAACAAAAGCAGTTAAGCCGCGTTCAGATACATATTTGTCCTCCAATTTTATTGGCTGCAAAGTAGTCCTGTAATTAAGCAACCAGTAACAAGGAAACAAATCATAAACAAAGAGCTCGAAGCTTATATTTGCACTTGGCTTTAGATTCTAGACAGAAATGAGCCAGAAACCTTAGAATTATTGTTCATGTGGTTTGACTGGAAGAACATCGTGCTGTAATCTATATTAATCTATTTGTAATTAATTTAATTGTTGACAGGTATCTAGTGATAATGTGAGAATAGAAACTAATAATAAGATAAAAGCAAATTATTAATAGTAGAGATGTTCAATTATATTTCAAAAAAAATTATTAGTTGTAACAGTAACATATCTAAATGGCTTTTTATATACAGGGTATTTCAGGCATAAGTCCACAAACTTTGAAGAACTGTTCCTCTGGGCAAAAGAAGTAAAAAAATGTATGTAAATATATATATACACAGGATATTTGGAAAAACAAAATTTAAGAAAATCTTATAAATGAATTGAGAAACATCTTTTAATTAGTAAAATTTTAGTACAGCCGAAATACGGGGTGCCTTTTTATACGAATAATACGTCACTGAGTTTTTTTCCAAAAAATGATAATAAACTTACAAGGTACTGATTAAATCTCATTGTTTGTTACTTAAATGTATTCTAAAAAAAATAAGTAGGTGCGTATTTACAAATAAACATGATGGTAAATTGTTGAATCGTGTTATCAGTTACTGGAACTCATGTTTGTATTGTACCACCAGAAGCCCGATAAAATAATTATTATTTATGAATCGGTGTCTAAGATTTTAATCAAAATTTTACAAACTTTGACAGTGTTGACATTTTTCTATAACAAATTACATCTTAACTCTACTCGTGCATTGGTGCGGCGGTCTATACAGTGTGAGTCGAAAAATCGCATATCATTTGAGTTTTTTTATATTTTGACGCGCAAATTCCATTCTTGGAGTTTGGTGCCATTCTCCCGAATCACCTTGTATATTTTTCGTTGTTTATGGAAGTTACCACGGGTTTCTAAAAACCTCACATCTATCTCTAAGCTTCTGAGAACATGATAAAAAGAAACAGACATATTCTAGAAACATTATGAAATAAATAAGTAAACAAATGCACACTGAAGTCTGTTTTGAAAAGTTATTTTCATTACGTGTTAAATAACTTTCTCTTTCTGTAAAATTATAATTTCACGATTTATATCAGAAAATAGATGTCAAGTATTATTGGATATTCATTTAAATCTGAAGTATCACTTAAACTGTGTTATCTTTGTACTTCTATACAAAATATTATATGGTTATTAGATTATCAGGGGTCTCTGATCTACTTCAGATAGTGAAGAATGGTTCTTGGTAGTAGCGACATAAAAACATATTTTATCTTCGATTTTTATATAAAAAGACAATATTTAACGACATGTCATTATTAGTCTTGACTTGTTTGAGCAGACATCGCCAAGAACAATCATGTTGTACAAGGCACTGGTGTGCTTGGCGCTTTTGTCATATGTTTATGGTTTCACGGTACGTATACTCGAATAATTCTATGTTTTGAATTTAAATTTTGAAAAAACCAACCACTGCGGAAACCAAAGCGAAAAACTGCATGATTTTTGTTGTATCTCGTATTTTCCAGGTGAAGCAAGATGATGGTAGTACCACCCCGTATTTTGTTCACCCTAAGGACAGACCTTCTGGTATTTCCCCTAGGATAATAGGGGGTGAGGAGGTCTCACCGCACAGTTACCCCTTCCAAGTGGCACTGACACTCTATACAGAATCTTCAGCATATTTTTGCGGGGGTACGTTGATATCCAACCAGTTGGTACTCACTGCGGCCCACTGCCTTGACAAGTAAGTATAAAAATTAGTTCAAAATTCTTTCCTTTAAGTTATACCGAGAGATCCAGAACGATTGATGGTGCGGCTACTTACAAATATTTTGTGTGCCGATATTCTATTATTTTTATCCTTCGCAGTTGGCTACACTGACAGTGATTTATTTCGTTCAGTGGCGGGTTAAGTGGCGTGGCAATAGGGTCACATATTTATTTTAATCACAAAAATACAATGAAAAAAAACAGAATGTTAGCATTAATTAATTTGAGGGGTTTATTGATTTGTTAAAGGAATTGACTAAATAGAAATGATTTAGATATTATTATTATTAACTTCAAAACTAACATAAGAATAGATTTTTAACAATTGTTTTATCTATCCTGTTTTTTTATGCGAACTTCAAAGCAAACGCGACAATTTTTAAATGAATTTACGTTTACTGTCCACATTTAGAAATGTGAATAATAAATCGACTTAAAATTTCTTAAATTCTGGCATAAAAATATGTTACT